TTCAAAACTAACTGTAATTGCTAAAATTGCCATTTTAACAAGGGAAAACTGCAATAGATTTTAAAAGAAGTCTATGACAAAAAAAAAACATCCAAACCTTCCAAGAAATTCAACTCTGCCAACAAAAATATTGCATACCCCAGGCTAAGAATCTAATGGCTCAAAAAGAGAGGGATCAATTCTCTTCCCCATGTGTTTCTTGTGCACTTCTGCACCTGGTTGATTACTCTTGTTAGAGTATGTGTATTTTTCCTGGTCTCCACCATGCTTCTCAAGACAATATACATATACATACCCAGAATTGTTTATGAATCAGAATAGCCTTTTAGGATCATTAAGAAAAATATGCTGTTTATAATCAATAGTTCCTATTCATATCTTCTTCCATAATGAATCTTTCACCAATCTTTTCTTAACAATAGTGGTTTTTCCACTGAGAGCTATTATTTGCATTTACCTCATCATTTTTTTTAAAAAATGTATAACCAACATCACTCAGACCAGAATATGACACTCTCCTGAACCAGTGTAATTAGGTCATTATGAGTTTTGAAATCCAAATGTTAATGCATAAACAAAAGAGATAGAAAATGGTGAAAGAGAAACATTCATGTTTTTTCAGTTCCAAATATGGAACCTATTAAAAATTAGCATCTGACCATGGTCGTAAAATAATGGCAGGGATTTTACTTCATCCTGTATCTGTTTATGACAGGAGCCTTTAGTTAACCATAATTCCATATTTATTAAAGTTGAATCAAAATAAATGAATAAAGAATCAGAAAAAAAGAATAAAATTAAGTTGTAGTGTATGCATGTACATGGAAGAATTTATTTTGTGTATTTTATATTATTTCTTTTATATTATATTAGGCTATTTTTTAAATCAGGAGATCTCTCAAATAAGTCTTAGAAATTCTGTCCAGACTCATTTATACCCTGTTTATGTCTCAGGAGAACTCTGATAAATGGTTTCAACCAAATAGAAGCTAGTCACTGTAGAAATGTCCATTATTTCTGAAACTAGTAATAAATCAAAATCTAATGACCAGACATGCCGTAAGCTCCCCAAACAATGATCAAACAAACTTTTTAAAAAACTGTGAGATTTAACCTACAACATTTTCTATGTTAGGGTGTCCTGGGAAAAATGTTTAAGCATAGTTTTCAGAATCCAGATGTGTGCCGTGTAGCAACCATGATGGGCAATAAGGTCTGCAAATTTTCTTTTTCTGTTCTACATTTGTGTGTACTTTTTCAATATGCTGTTAATAGAATCTGTGAAGACTGGTATCCTATGTTATTAGCACATGGGTGACAGTTGGTGTCTTGAGAGCCATATGTGACAAAAAGCTACTGTCAAAGACACTCTGAATCAATCTAATAAGAGTTATCTTTCCATTTTCTGGAAATCTACTGCTTGGGAAAGAGAAGGAAAAGAATGCCAGAAGCAACAACAGGAAGAATGGTTGGGAGAAAGCAGGACTTTGTTCCACCAAGTTTGGACTTTGGTTGAATCTACTAATGAAATTCCACTGACGAGTCATTTTCAGGAGCCATTCTATTTTTAGGTATGAGCTCAAGAGCTAGAGAATCATCAGACTGCTTTTTTGATGGCCAGTCATAATTATGACTTCAGCCCTTTCTATATTGACATAGCAATAAATCTCTTTGAATCCAATGAGAGTTATGTTTACATAAAAAGTATTCCACTGAAAGCTGTCATTGTTCAAATTGGTAGAATCTATGTACTTAGATGGCATAGCAACACAGACATGGGAAGAGAATTAAAAAACAAATATGCTTCTTAACATTTTTTCTTACAGAGTAATTGTCATGAACTGACATATCAGGATTCAAAAGATACAGCAATGCAACAAGAATAGAAATGAAATATATACGGAAGTTGAGATCGCATTTCTTTGTGCATGGAAATAGCGCTAGTGATAAGCATGTGGCTTAATGCACTGTCACTGCAACTATTCTTTACAAGTGGATGGATAATCAAATGTGTTTTATTGCCCCTTGATTGAAAATGGTTATGGCTATCAAGGGTGAGATAAAGGTGATTTGGTGGGTAGAACTGACTGCTGTTGGCTGTTATTCACTCTGGGTATTCTGGAGGCATGTGTTGAAATTGTTCTTCTGGATTTACCAATAACTTTTTAGAGACTATGATGAATCTCTCAGATTCAGCCGCACTTTATCTACACATTTGTTGGCTTGCTAAAATATAACTTCTCCATAACCAAGTTCCTCCCAGAGGGACAATTTAATGCAGAGAAGCATTTGCAGCCTGGTCTATCTCACAGAGGAGTCCTCCCCCCCCCCACACACACACAAACAAACTATAAATCTTTACTCGTGACATCATAATCTGTTGCTGTGGGAATGCTTGTGGTAGCACAAAGAAAGGATTACAGCCTTAACCTGGGGTAAACAGAAAGAAGAGATAGGCTCAGCAAGATAAAATGCCATCATTGCTGAGGGCATACAGATCATCCTCCCTACCGTTTTCTCACATCTTATAAAACTGGTATCAGATTCTTCATTGCTTTGTCAGATGATTCACAGAACTTTCTTTTTAAGAGAGAGAGAGAGAGAGAGAGAGAGAGAGAGAGAGAGAGAGAGAGGAAGAACAACAGAGAGAAATGAAATTTAAAGCCTGATTAAAATAAGATGCTTATCTCTTTTGAAGGAATTGAATGGCAATAACAGTACGTCTCACTTAGAAATTCTAATATTTGGATGGGCCCAAGTTTTTGCAATCTGGTGTTTGAATTCCATTATAAATACTCCATTCCTCTCTTTAAGAAGCTTCTACTATAATCCAATGGTAGCAGCCTAACCAGAGTGTTGCTATAGCATTACCAAAACATCTAAAACTCTAAGCTGTGCCTCCAAACCTGGCATTATATCTCATCAGTTGTGTCTGTGTAGTAGGAAAACCAACTTTGGAAAATAGCCTATTCTGATATTTTGCCTGACAATCCATGTTACATCTATAATAAATAAGCAAGAAGATCAACAATGAAAGAAGCATGGGATAAATAGGCAGGTTATCTCTTTCATGAAAGTGCAGGGAAACTACTATCTTAATGATCACCCATTTGAAGAGACAAGAATACTGTGGGCAAAAATGTTTTACATAACCCATATCTGTAATACCATTCTTGAATAGCAATTGATACATAAAAAAGTAGAATCTCAAACTTTCTGCCTTAGGAGCTCTGCATGTATTTAGGATGAGCAGCATGGAAGTAAAACCACAGAACAGAGAAAGGAGCCTTTGGACATCCCTTCTCCCCCCACCCCCAAGAGATAGACAGAAGCCTGAAAAAAAGTCTTGCTTTAGTGCATTGCAAAAATAGTTGCATATCTGCAAGATTCAAAGTCCTCCTTCTGAATCATTTTTAGATCATACACAGCCTTCTTATACTGAAGCCAGCCACTATAGCTATGTGTTTTATAAAGTACAATTCTATTCATCTACATAAGTTTTAAAAAAGTATCCTCATAAAGTCTCAGACCTTCCTTGATTGATTCTGAAAAGCTGAGCAGGATCAAAGCTGATTCAAACTCTTATTTGAAATCGCCAAGAAAATACTTCCACCACAGCCTAAATTTAAAAGGCAACATCAAACTCCACCAGTAATGCTGCTATGCAAACATCATGGATATAGGAGTCAAGCCAAACTTGAAGATGATTTTTCTTTTATCTGACATGAAAGAGGTATCATGCCTGTTGAAGAAACCTACCACAGTTAGCATATTACTCAGGGATTCCAGTCTAAAGGGAGAAGCACTATATAACATTCCATTGTCTTCAGAAGAAGCTAGTACACTCTGAGAAACCACTGCCCAGAATAAAGCTGTTAAAAAATATTTGCAGAGAGCAAACAATTTCATCTTAACTAAACTAACAATGTTCTCTGTGCCTCTTTGTCCCCTTGCCACTCATTCCCAGGTTGCTCAATGTATTGTTACCAAGAAGGACAGCCAGAAAAATTATGGGGTTCTCATCCATGCCTTGCCAGTCTTGGTGGACAACTAAAAAATATAGGCAATGTTATAGTATATTACATTTTGAGAGAGTGTTATGCTGAAGGGTACTTTGGGACTCTGAAACAGTTGTTGAAAGCTATTTGCTGTCTGGTTTCTAGGAGACAGCATGACTCCCAGCACCTTCTTTTATGTCTACCCTCCTCAGCCATTCATCAACTAATGTTCTTGATGAAGACAGATAAAATCTGGGGCAGAGGGGAGGAGGAGGCTATGAAATCATTACTGAAGATAAGGAGTGCTCAACCAAGCCCCAGGGGTATATTGTTTCTGGGAGAGGACTTATATGATGAGATTTGGAATAGAAACATGCAAAATAATTTATGCTTATTCCCTGTTCCCTGCCAAAAAATTTAGCAACTTTGCACAATATTTTAAAAAGGAGAAAGAAAACTTGTTTCTTAAAAACTTAATGTAATACATTAATTTTCTTCAAAGTAGGAAGTGATAGGGAGGGAGGAAAGGAAGGAGGGAGGGAGAGAGGGAGGAAGGAAGGAAAGAAGGAAGGAAGGATATGTTATTGAGTTCATATTTTTACATAGAAAATGAATTCCACTGCATTCATATATCTTGCAGTCGTAAATTTACTGGTCTTCATAATAAAGTATGTGTCTTAATGCATTGAACTATATCTATTATTGTGGATTGGACTCTACTGCTATACTGCTAAAAAAAAGCATGATTTCCATAAGGCTTAAGCATCATAAAATTGCTGGTGTTCTAATTTAACAAAGAATATTGACATTATACTGGGAAGTGTTCTGTGATATGATATTCTGTCACATCATAATAAAAATAAGAAGGGAAAGGAAGAGTTGTAAGTACCTTTCCAGTTATTTTAGCATCCCATAGTAAAATGCTAACATTCAATGTGTCTTCTTCCAAGTATGATTGAAACCACCAACACTATTGATTTACTTTTGTTGGACTATTTTGTGTTGATATGAATTCTTAGGTGCACATATTTTGAGTTAAAACAAAGTTTCACCTAGTGGTCCTTGACTTACAACCATAATTGGAACTGGAACTTACATTATTAAGTGAACAGTAGTTAAGTGAGCCCCAGCTTTTTTTTTTTTTTTGCCAAGAGCAGGGGTGTTAAACGCAAGGCCAATGGGCCAGTTTAAGCCCATAGGATGCTTATATCTGGCCCACTGGGCAGCCCTGGAAACAGTGAAGGACTGGCCCGCTGTGCCTCTGCAAGCAAAAAAGGAGCTCATTTTCCATCTCTGCACCTGTGGTAGCCTGGGTTCCATTTTTGCTGGCAGAGGGCTGAAGGAGGCAGCCTGAGGAACTGTGAAGCTTGTCTGGGGACAAGGGTTTGGTACTCTCCCTGGTTTTGCCTTCCTCTGCTGGAGACAATGGATCCCCCCACCCCCCACAGCACTGCCCATGCCACAATAGGTGCCCCAACATGAGTGACATTGAGTTGGCCACATCTGACCTGGCCATGCCCACCCAGTCCCTTGAGGTCAAGCATAGCCCTGATGCAGTCCTCAATTAAATCAAGTTTGACACCCCTGGCCAAGAAAAATCACACGGTTGTTAAGAGAATTTGATTTTTTTCCATTGACTTTGCTTGCTGGAAGCCAGATGAGAAGATTGCATATGGTGATCCCATAACCCTGGAACCAGGCAACAGACAAAAATACATGCCAGTTGCCAAGTGTCCAAATTTTAATCCCATAACCATGGAGATGTTATGACAGTCATAAATATGTCAAAATGTCAAAAATGGCTTCGTATTTTGCCATAGGGATATTCCCACATTGGCAGTCTGAAATCCTTTGTGTGGTCCAAGGGCGTTTTATTTGTCCTGGAAATATCTCCATCAGAACTGAGAACTCCTTCACTGTTAATTTCAGTTTGAATAGGATAGAAACAAAATTAGACACAATTCAGTATCAGGTTGAATGTTACAATAGGTAAATATGTTGACTTTGCTTGTCAGAAGGTCACAAAGAGTGATCACATGGCCTTGGGACATAGCAATGGTTGTAAGTATGAACCAGTTGCCCAGCATCTGAATTTTGATCACATAGTCATGGGGATGCTGCAAAGGTCTTCATGTTACTTTTTTCCAGTGCCATTGTAACTTTGAACAGTCAGTAAATGAACTGTTGTAAGTCGAGGCTGATCAGTTGGATTCTTTCTCTACAAATCTGTTCTGAAGTATCTGTCTGAAATTGTTTTGGCTGTCATGTTAAGGAGGATCAGATGTACCAACCACATGGATAGAATCAGAGACTATTTGGAAATCTGGGATTCGTAATTAGACTGAAGTAGGAGAAATCATTGTTGAAAGTGATGGTAGCAAACATTTCCACTGCGTTGTCAAGAAAACAATAGTACTGTTTTTGTTTTAAAAAATATTTTTAAGATGCTGAGCAATAATGGTGCTTGACAAGAGTTTGTGGCTGAAATTGTCAATAGTTTGAAGCTCAGTTAATGAAAAATGATGTTCAGGATGCAGAATTGTAAACATATAGGAATAGATTTCTGTAAGCTACAAAAGAACAGCATAAACAACTATTGTAAAGTATATTGATTCTATCTAATAAAAAGAGAGACGTATCTGAATGCATTTCGATAAAAATAAATAACTTATGGATCATATGAAAGGCCCATGAAATAAGATCTTCAATCTTGCAGTTGAAGAAGATAGTCATATTATTGACAATAGACTGGAAAAGAGAAAAGATTGCAGCCATAATAGGAAAATATAATCCTTGTTGACTGAAGGAAAACATTTTGATGCATTTGTCAAGCTATCAAATATAACAGTATCATTGAAAATTTATCAAGCTTCTTATTTATCCTGACTGTGAATGAGATCCAAAGTCCAAACACTATTTTCACATTTGAGTGGGGAGAATGAGAGACGGGGGAGGAAGGATGAGAGAATAAAAGAGAGGGAGGGAGGGGGAGAGGAAAGAGAGAGAGACAGAGAGAGAGAGAGAGAGAGAGAGAGAGAGAGAGAGAGAGAGAGAGAGAGAGAGAGAGAGAGATTCTGCAAAAATTTTGTGAGTCTTGGCAGATTAATCAGATTAACCCATGAGTTTGAAAATACGGTTGAAAGAATTCTTTAATTAAAGTATAATTAACATCTTATACTCAAGTTCACATGGCCTTATGTTGACATTTAAATAAAGCATAAATGAGAGCCAATAGAATCATCTACTTCAGTCCTTCTCAGAATTTCTGCAGAATTTCTACTCTGAAAGTCATGACTTTCAGAACTGTCATGAAAAAAAATCTAAATTTATTCCATCAATTCTATTTAGACATGTCCTGCAAAACCATCCTATCCAGTCCAGGAAAACTACATATGGATTTAAATACAAGATCTCTTTCCCAATCTGTTTTATGTTTTCAGATCTTCTCCAGATAGCCACACAGAACCTATAAGAGAAGGCCATTTTAACAAAACAACTTTCTATGTTAGGCAGTTCCTCTTCAGGTTGATGATTGGATGCATCACAACGCGTCTTACAAGCACATTTAACGTGGTGTCTTCTTCTGGGATATGGTACCAATTAGATCAGGCAAAGATGTTTATTCCAGCAAATAAACAGCATTTTGGGTTTATGGCCTATAGAGGGGATTTATGGCTTTCCTTACCTTCCAGTTTCTGTGGTGACAACATGCTGAAACTTGTAGAGGAACAAATCCAAGGCTATAATTCCCTATAATTCCCTGTCAATATTAGGAAACTGGAAGGCAGAGAAGAATCACTGCTATGGAATGTAGGAAGGCTTTGAGAATTTTTATAAATTTCCTTGTAATTCTTTAACAGGAATTCTTCCTTTAGAAAACTTGCCCTCAACCCTGGTTGCCGAACAAAGAATAAACAAATACCGCTGCAGAACAGTGGTGGGATTCAATTTTTTTTACTACCAGGTCTGTGGGTGTGGCTTGGTGGGGTGTGGCTTGGTGGGCATGGCAGGGGAAGATATTGCAAAATCTCCATTCCCTCCCCACTCCTGGGGGAAGGCTATTGCAAAATCCTCATTCCCTCCACACCCGACTAACCTGCTTTCCAGCTCCATTCTCCTGTGCAGGGAAACAAAAGAAGACCCAGCCGATCAGCTGGGACTCGGGAGATAGAAAATAGATGGGGGCAGGGCCAGTCAGAGGTGGTATTTGCCGGTTCTCTGAAATACTCAAAAATTTGGCTACCAGTTCTCCAGAACTAGTCAGAACATGCCGAATACCACCTCTGCTGCAGAAACATAATGAAATATACTGCCTTTTCTAATTATAAAGAGTGGGCAGTTATTGTTTGAAACACACTGTTCATGAAATCTGAGAAGGAAGGACAATGCATTTCATTATTGACCAGTTGGAAAGATGACCAAACAGGTCTGATGGTTTTCAGTGAAGCTTGCAAAGACATAAATATGAACATGATCATAGCAAATATCTATTAGCAAATAGCTAAAATAGCAGTCTCACATATACTTTAACCTGAACTGAGAAAGAAAGGGAGATAGGATAGAAGAGGAGATAGAAGAGGATAGAAGAGGAGATAGAAGAGGATAGAAAAGCTCAAATAGTGGATTTTCAAGTATCTTTCTGCTATGGCTGCTGTGGAGAATGTCAAGTCCATGGCACAAATTCAGTGAGGCTTATAACAATATTACAAGTGCAGAGAAAACTGTCAACAAAGTAGTTTTTCCAAGAAAACTCCAGAAATGTCAAGTATGTTCTGATGGGATCAAAGAGATGTTTGCCTATTATTGATTAGATTAAACATACAGTTTTGCAAGATTGCCTACTTTTTACCTGAAAATGTATTTAAGAAAATAACTTTAAAATATATATTGGAAACAACTCCAGTTAAAATCAATAGAGAGTATTTCTATGTAAATACAGTTAAGGATCAAATTGTTCCCACTAAAGTATGGGACCTCAGTTGTTGCTGCACTATAATTTTGTGTTTTTTCTTCTGAAGACATTTCATTTCTCATCCAATATATTATATATTATAAATCCTTCCATTCCCCTACCTCCAATCAGAGCTGAAGACATTTCTTGGATGATAAGCAAATATTCTTTCTTCAAAACATACTTTCTTCAAAAGAAAAATCAGAAAGTCCAGTTGCCTCCTGAAAAAGCACCTTTGGGACAACCATGACCTGGATTACTGATAATCTCCATAGACTTTTAGCTGCACACTTTGGGATGAATGCCCTTCAAATGATGTGGGAGTAGGAACAGATTTCCAGAAAAAATGCGGAGTACAGGAACCATTTTCACTTCAGTTTGAGATGCAGACAACACAGACTCCTCTCCGACAGACTGTGCCCATCTTCAAAGTGAAGGGATACAGAGCAGAAAACATCCTGCAGCCAAGAAGCTTCATACCCATTTGCACTACTCTGGGGATCCTGAGGGCACAGATAAACCTCAACAACTTTCTAAAAGAATGCAAATGACCAGCTGTCTGCAAGGAATTTAAATACTTCCAATCCTAACCATCCAGTCAGAGCTAAAGAAGCTTCTTGGATGAGAAGAGAAATATCTTCAAAAGAAAAAAAAACAGAAAGTCCAGTTGTTTCTTGGAAGAAAGCACCTTTGGGACAACCATGACTTGGATAACTGAGAATCTCCATAGACTATTGCACTATACTAAAAAAAAAGGGGGGGGGCTGAATGTTTAACCTGAAGTTTTTATTACAGATGTGTAGCCTTCTCACTTAGATGCCCTTAAATGTGTAGACTTCAGTTCCAGGATTTAGAATGATTATCATTCTGAAAATCATAAATCTACAGGAAACTTAGATTACAGAAGGGTATTGTAGAGTATCAAAGCAGATGAAAAATTATCTTCAACTATACAAATATTGTGTACTTAAAGCAGAATTAAGGCAATGTGGTGAATCGAAGAAACGGATGTTGTCTTCAAACAGTGAGAGAAAAATGACCACAAATTACTGCTCTCTATGCATATCACATGTGGCTTTCCTACTGGTTTGCAATTTTTACTCAGACAATAGGCAAACTTCCTAGATTGTGTGCACTAATCTGATATAAGCCATCACAAGCCACCTTGGCTTCCAATGCTGGACAAAACCAACCATCATTCTCCCCATTAAATGATCTAAATAGAAACTGATAAGGAGAAAGTGGAGTTGATTTTCATGATTTGTATTTAGTTTAAAACTAAAAGTACTTAAGGTCCTTTTAAAACATTTTACCTAGAGACACAACGAGCCAATAGGTCAATATCATCAAAGTAAATAGGCGTCTGCTGCAAGTCCAAGTCCCTCAAGCTATCTTCTTGCCACAATTCTATAAAACACATTGTAAAAAAGGTCTCCAGAATGCTCATATAATAACATGCTAAATTAGACAGATTAATCATCACAGATGGGGCTGGGAGCCCACTTATCTTAATGCACAAAATGCAAGTCTCCACTTAGTATGGCTTGACACAGTCTCAGTAGTTCCTTTTAACCTGGGGGGTGGGGGAGCAGGAAAATATGCTGATGCCTAAACCCTCCAATGGATACTTAGCATCCCCTGGTACATTTGATTAAAGCCAATGATCAATACTCAACTTTAAGAAAAAACTGTTGCAGGGTATAAAACAGATGACATCCCATGAATAAATAAACTTTGATAATGGCACTTGTCTTACAACAGAGTTCATGTATAATTGAGCACAAATAATGCCCATTAAAAGAACACCTAACATGCTCACTGCCCCCCCCCCCAAAAAAAAAGAGTTAATTGATTTCAGTCTTCTGGGAATTCTCTCATAATAGGAATAAGAAAAACAGTTGTTTACTATATATAATGAATGTAAAGTACCTGTTTGGTACATTATTTTGGTTTCTTTCAATTGCCATTTAATGGACTCTTTAGGACCTAACTTCTTTAACTTGCTAAAGGCTTCAGATAGCTCCCATATTTCACATCTGGAGAAAAATGGTCTAGGATCTGATCCAATTTTTATTGAAATCAAATCCACTTTGGTATCTGGTTGGCTTCATGGAACAGCCAATCTCTTTCTGCTTGTAAATGTATTTAAGTGAATCAAAATAGACTCAAATGGACACATGAGGAAGAATAAACTGTGCAAATTTCAGAACTGGGGAAAAAAAGGTCTGGCTGTCTATTCTTTAACAGACATTTTCTGTATACTCCACATGCTTTCTTTTCCATTTTTGCTTCCTCTTCATATTTGAAGATGGTTAAGTTCAAAGCTGGTAATATTTCCTTTCTTTATCAGGTCAAAAAATGCTGTGTTGAACAAAAATTAATAACAGGAGTATTGCATGTATATTTAATTTCAGGATCACAGTGCTGAAATCAGAGTGAAATTTCATATTCTATGAAAATGTCATACTAGCATTCTATTTCATGGCTATATTTACAAGGTATATGACAAGCAGCTTTTTTTATTTTACATTTTTCATGGTTCTCTGACACAGACACAGCATTTCTTATACAGCCAGCTTTTATGTGCCACTTTTCAAGGTGAATTGAGCTTTCAAACAAATTGGCCAGCAACAAACAGACAGATAGATATCAAATGGGTGATTTCTTTCATCTCCAGAAAGGAAACATTTAAGCATTTCTTTTGCGCAATATTTTCAGTCTCCTTTTCTGAAAGATAAGTGGACAGATCCAGGTAAAATTTGGAGGACGATTCAACCTGTTGGATCTTCAGCTAAATACAGGTAGTCTTCAATTTACAACAGTTCATTTAATGACCATTCAAAGTTACAACAGCATTGAAAAAAGTGACTTATGATCATTTTTCCAAACTACGATCATTGCCACATTCCCTTGTTCACATAATCAAATTTCAGCTGATTAGCAACTGGTTCATACTTTTGACGGTTGCAGTATCTCATGGTCATGTGATCAAATTTTGTAACCTTCTGACAAGTAAAGTCAATGGGGAAGCCAGATTCACTTAACAACCATATTACTAACTTAACAACTACAACGATCCATTTAACAAATGTGGCAAGAAGGATGTAAAATAGGGCAAAACTCACTTAACAAATGCCTTACTTAGCAACAGAAATGTTGGACATAGATGGCATTTTGCACCCACAAAGTTGGCAAAGATGTTTAAGGACATGTCCATAAATATTGAAAATGAAATCAGACACCAGGTTCGTATTATCATATGTGGTGGACACATCCAAAGGCAAAAAGAAATGGACAAAAATACATACATACATGGTTGGAAAAAATGATCAAGCAACATATAAACTTAAAACCAGAAATATTCTTGTAGGGCATCCTACTGGAAAAATATAATAAAGGGAATACATACTTGATTTTACATTTTTCAGCTAGAATTGTATTTGCACAACAATGGAAAAGGGAAGAGATCCCTACAGAAGAAAACATAATTAAAAAAATACTAGAATGTGCAGAAATGGGTAGATTAACATTTAAAATCAAATAAAAGGAAGAAACTGAATATTTTTTAACATGGGACTCATTTTATCAATGGCTAGCCAATAAAAGTAGAAGTTAGAAATAGGGAAATATAAGAGAACGATTAATTTTACATGGAAGATCTATTAAAATGGATAAGCAAATACTACTATTATTATGAGACTAATATAACATGATTAATACTATTATAAATATGATTATTATTTCTCAAATTATTTCTACGAAGACAGGAAACTGTTTATTTAGAAATTGATTTTTTATATATATAATAAAACTTTTTTAAAACTGAAAAAAAAAAAGAAATGCTGGGCTCAGTTGTGGTCATAAGTTGAGAACTACCTATAGTCCAATCTACGCATGGAACCATTTCAGCACATGATAGAACCTCAACAGCATATCTACTTTTACGTCCCATCTTCAGACAGCGACTACAGTTGTCATTTTCCCCTTTGCTGTCCGCATATTCTGAACTTGAGTTGAGTTTCAATATGATTGCCCATATATAAATGTTGTTATTATTAACATTGTCATTGTGGCTATTGAGGCTTTGAAGTGAAATACAGCAAGGAAAAAAAACCCAGTCTTTGATTTGTTCATTCAGCAAAACAAGTTGAAGTAATAGTTATCAGCCATGATCCTAGGTGGATAGATGAAAATGGAAATGTGCAGCCATGCACAGTCATTTGAAAGATAATGTTATGTACGAACACATTGCACTGGTGAATTGCTGTCATGAAATATTGAGTTAGGAGCCAAAGAAAAGACAGAAATACAAAGCCATAGAGATGCTATGGATACCTGTACTATACATTAGCCTCTAGTAAACACCAAAAGGGAAGGCCATAGATTATTAATATTATAGAGTCATCTTTGGCAGCCATTATGTGGCTGTTACTTTGTGACTGAATTCCTGAGGCCAATCTGCTCATCTCTTAGCAAATACAATCTACAGAGCTCTTCTTTTAAGAATACATGACTGGAAAAAGCATTCTTCCTATCCACCAATGTTAGTAACTCAGACTCATCAAGGTGCTTCTATCCTGAACTG